AGACCAGTTGTGGGTATGAGAGGGGGACCGGGGCCGATAAGTCGAAACCAGATTGCAAAGGGCCTCGGGTGTCACAGCGAAAGAGCTCTGCACTTCTCCCTCCAGGCGGTGACATATTTTAAGCAGAGGAGCGCCTGCCTGCAAACTGACCCTAGTGGTTATCGGGAAGCTGGACTGGGACGGAGAGGGGGGTGCACAGATGGAAGGCGGGAAGGCCGGTTAGGAGGCTGGAATGGATTCAAGAAGTCGACCGAGCTGGTGTAAGTAGAGAGCGGACAAGTCAGAGGATCATGCGGGGGACCCAACTGAAGGGAGAAAAGAATCAAGGCCAGATTTTGGCTTCCCAGCTAGAGCGCCCAGGTGGGCGACGGTGTCACAGACCCAGAACACAGAAGGAGCAGGGTGACTGCAGTAGATGAGTTTTCCATTAGGGATTGCTTTTTTTTTTTTTTATCATGAGGAAGCCCCAAGCCAGGCCTGATGTCCCAAGCCTGGCCCTCAGCCCCCCTACCTGCACAGGGCCCCCAAAGAGTCCTCGTCCAGAAAACCGTGGTCCTTCTTCACAGAGCCAAGATCCAGGGGGAGCGAACCTTCTGTATGGCAGAGAGAAGCCAAGGTGAGTTGAGGGCAGGAAGAGGGAGCCTGGAGGAAAGAAGGGGTCCAGGAGCTCAGGTGGGCCATCAAGGGAGAGGTGCAGGACAGGCGGGTCCATGGGCTTCCCCAGTCCTCTGTGAATCCTGGGCTTCTAAGACCAGGAACCTCCTCCCGGATCCAGGTGTAGTGGCAGGGGGCGGGGGTGTGCAGAGAAAGAGGGAAGACAGAAGAAACGCTTCTCGCTGCTACCCAGAACATGGGGTGCAGGGGCAGGGGCAGTCCGTCAGGTTTAGGGAGGGGAGGGGAGAGAGGAAGGAGCAGGGAGGACGGGAGAGCAGCCAGGAAACCCCACACCTCTCCACCTTATTGGTAAAATGAGGCCATTTACTCATTTCCTGATATTCATAGAGCACCTCCCTTGTGCCAGACACTGGGGAGACAGCAGTGAACAAGACAGAAGTGGTCACAGCCTCCATGGACTTTACATTCTCCCGGGGGCAACAGACAATAAACAATATGTGAAACCAACAAGAGAATGCGGTCATTAACGCCACAAAAAGGCATCGGCCAAGGTGATGGGGTGAAGAGAGGCTGGGCACGGGCTATCCTGGAGAGGTGGTCAGCAGGCGCCTTCTGGGGCAATGACCTCTGAGCTGAGTCCTGAAGAATGAGAAGGGGCCGGCCATGCAAAGAGCTGGGGAAGAGAGTTCCCAGTGGCACTAACATTAAAGCTCTGAGGAGACAAAGGGTCCGGAGTGAGCAAATGATGGGAAGGAGCCTGGGCCCTGGTGAGTGAGGATAAAGCACTTGGGCTGACTCCATTCAGAGCAGAGGAGTGACAGCGAGTCCGCCTTCACGGGGCCCCTCGAGCTGCTGTGCATTCGGAGCAGAACAGGGAGCACAGGGAAGAGGCTGCTGCACTAGGCCAAGTGACTGATGACGGGGGGTCACACTGATGTGGCAGTGAAGGTGGCAGGAATTGGATGGATTCAAGATATGTTCTGGAGGGAGAAGAGACTTGCTGAAGGGTTACATACGGGGGACAAAGGAAAGGATGATTCTGGGAGGTGGGGCTTGAGTGGGTGGTGATGCCATCAGGAGTTGAGATTGACACCTGTCGAACTGGAGGTACCCGCCAGATATCAGAGGACAGATATCGAATTGGCAGCTAAATAGATAAATCTGGAGCTCGGAAATGAAGTCTGGACAGAGAGACATTTGGGAGTCACCAGAATACAGATGGTACTTGGACAAGAGTCTCCTGGGAAAGAACTGCTGAGGGAGGACGGGGGTCAGAATTCAGCCCTGGGAACCAGACACAGGAAACTTTGGGAATGGGAGAAGGGAAGAGACCCACCTTCAAAGAGCTGAGCATACTGAGGGAATCCTGTAGCTCGGAGCCACTCGCATGCTTTCTTGGCCTCGGCTTCTAGAACAGAACAGGGGGAAGAGAGTGAGGCGGAGAAGCGGGGTTAGCGAGACGATGGGTGAATGTTGCGTCACCTCCCGCACGTAGGCATCTCCAGTTCTGGTGACCTGGAAACGGTAAGAGAGGGGCTGGCACCCTTGCTGCACGTCAGACGGCTCACTTTACGCTCTGCTCCCGAAGCCCCACTCCCTGTGTGCCTGGGACCCCCTTTCTTGAGCCTCATTCCCTGCCTATCCCGAGCCCCTCCCACTCTCCTGCCCCTGCCCAGCAACACAACCCACCGACAGCCACCAACTCCCAGGACAGTCTGGGGTCAAGGACTACTGCTGGGGACGGAAGGCGCATCTCTGTCTCTTCCTCAGGGAGCCACCCCGTTCCACAGCCCGGGTAGACTGTCCTAGTGCAGCTGGGAACAGAAAACGTCCCCTTGGACAATCAAATCTCACTTTGCACACACGACAGGCTGTGATGGTTTCACTGTCCCCATTTCCTGGATCTCCAAAGCGGCTCAAAAAGGCGGGGCTGGTGTACGGTCCATAGTCAGGGCCCGTACCCCTCGGACATGGTGGCTTCCCCAGTGCCCTCCCTCCCCTGGGAGCCTCCCAGGGCTATGCCAGCTCTCCCACGTGGCTGGCCTATTTGCGGCATAACCCAGTGCTGACTGTCATGCCAACAGCGCTGGCTTGTGGGCGTCTTGGAGGGCAACGGCTGGGCCAGCCGCCCACCCGTGACCTGGGACTGCCTGGCACTGAGCGGGATACCCCTGCCAGCCTCAGTGGAGAGGTACAGCTGGACCGAAGCCACAGAGTAGCAGCAGCAAACTCTGGGACCGCCCAGGCAGTGACTCGTTCCGTACCCAGGTGGAGCTAGAGAGCTGCTCTGGCCACGGAGACCGGCCCCCCACTTCCTCCATGTTCTTCACACCTGTGACCAGGGGACTCCGAGGAGATTAGTGGGGTTCTTCCAAGACAAGAAATTCTCCGTGTTCCCAGAACCCTGACACAAGGAGATTCAGGATGAGAACCCAGGAGCCAGGACAGATAAAGGGCAAAACTGTTTCAGAGATGCTGGGTGGGTGGAGGGGGGAAGAAAGCATGGGGTAAGGTAGAAGTCGGTCAGAGAAACCACAAGGCTCCTCGGAACCACACGCTAATGAGGACTTGAAGGCTCTGCGGCTCCTTCATGAGTGCGTGCGCCCAGCCGGTACTGCCCCAGCTTCTGACTCCCCGTACGGCTGTAGCCAAGTCTGCTTCTGTCCATGATCCATGTGGATTGTGGGGGTTCGTGCACATGCATTCGCACCCCCCAGGCCCCTTGGTCTGTGCATGTACCTGCACCTGCGTGTCTGTGCGTGTTTTTTGTTGCTGCAACTCTCTAAGCTGTGATAAAGATCTTGCAAGTCCTGAGAGCATTTGTCCACACAGGTCCTGCTGACATTACTTGTGTCCTCTGGCAGGGGGCAATGCAGGCCTGGGAAAGGATCCAGGTCTCTGGGCAGGTGATAGATAAGAGCAGCCTGGAGGGACTTCGGGCCCACCCAGCGAGCACTTTAGGGACATGGTTTTGCTGTGGCAACCACGCCCCAGCCTTCTACTGTTCCCCATCCTCAGAGCCCCTCCCAGCAGCCAGCTCTGCTTCCCTGTCAGTAGGACAAAGGAGAGACCAGATCGGACTTTCCAGAAAAGTGAGCACAGAAGGAAACAGTGACACCTAAAGGGCCATAGGTGTTATGGCCACCTCAAGCACGGTTGCCAATCCCCGGGGAAAGGCCAGCATGTCAGGAACACACCCTAGAAGTCCACTGCAGCCCCCAGTCACTCATGGCTCGAGACAGAACAAAGAGGAGAGACACACCTGCCTGTTCATTACTCCGGTGCTCCTTCTGAATCCTGAGGGCCTCGGGAAAGTGCATGGCCATGGAGCCCATGGCGGGGGGTGACAGGCTGCCAGCTCCCCTAACACTAGGTGGTGGCCCTAGCCAGGACCGGTGAGAATGAAATCGGCTCACTCAGGTGAGCACCAACTTGTTTCATCAAGGGCCTTCTAGCCCCTGCTATTCAAAGCGTGGTCCCTGGACCAGCAGTGTCCACCTCACCTGGGAATGCGTCAGACACAGAGTCCCAGACATATTGAATTGAACTGCCATTGAATTTGTGTGAATATTACAGTTTGGAAAGTGTTGGCTGAAATCTAGCTCAAGGATTCCCACTGATGGATGCACAGTAGAATCTGCTAGGAGGTTTTCGAAATACCAATTCCCCAGGGCCCCATCCCCAGGGGCTGTTTTAATTGGTCTGTGGTCGCACTCTTCAAATCAGTATTTTTTAAAAGCTACAGTATGGGGAATACTGAGGCTCAAGGGACTTTTCCAAGTCACACAGAGTTAAGCGTCACAATTGAGACTACAACCCTGATTTTAAAATTCCATGTCTAGCGATCTTTTCCATCACATTATACTCACCCGCCCTCAGATGCCAGGTAAACAGTGGGACTTAGACTCAAAGGAACCGACTCCAGGTCCCCGAACATTTTTTCCGCCCCTGTGTTCTAGGGAAGTGACGAGTCTGAGTTCAAATCCTGGGGCTGTCTGTCAGTAACTGTCTGACTTTGGGCAAGTTGTTACCCTCTCTAAGACTCAGTTTCCTCCTCGTTAAAATGGGGCCAATAGAATCCACTTCTTATAGCTACTGAGAGCATTCAGTGAAGTACTAGAGAGAAAGAAAATCCTTGACACACAGTAACGAGCACTCACCAGATGACTCTCCTCCCCTCTCCGACCAAAGCTCCCCAAAGGAAAAAAGATTGGGAGCCAAATGGCTTGGGGAAGCAAGGTCGGGAGGCAGAAGTTTCAGAGGCCACAGCACCTCAAAAAGACAAAGGGGCCATGGAGTCTGAGGCAGGGCTCCAAACCCAATCCCCAGCAGCACTCCCTGGTAGGAATCTGGAGAATGTAGTAGGTTATTGCCCAACAGGATAACAGGGACAGTGGCTCCTGACAACACATCACCCCAGGGAGAGCTGGGAGGCCCTGAGGCTCCCTCCCAGATAAAGCGGCCAGGGACATATGTCTTGTTGTTTAAGGGCTGAGCTAAGTAAGGTGTTTTGCCTCCATCCCTCCCACCCGTCCCAGCCTGCCCAGGCTGGGGCCAGGAGTGACCACCCATCCCCAGAGAGTCAATTTACCTGGGGCTGGGGGCCCAGGCAGCCCAGACCCAGGATTGTCTTATGTGCCCGGCGGGGGGAGTGACACCGGGCAGGCTTAGGCGATACAGACATGTCTGTGGCCCCTAGTCCTGTCTCCGTGTCCAGATGTGCAGATTCCAGCACTTTCAACTGCTATATTATGCAAGCCGTGCTCTGGCCAAGGCTAGGGTGATGTGCCAGGACAGGTCGGGGACGGCCCTCAGCTGGCACAAGCTGAATTCCAGTGAGATTTAAGCCCAGACCCTCCCCTGGGGAGGGGCCCAGCCGATCCGAGCCATAAGATTTGAGGGGAGAGGACAGGTTAGAGATCCCCGTGATCACTCAAATCAGATCCCTGGGCCACACTCACAAGTCTCCTGAAGGGAGCGTCAAAGGACTGGTTTCCGAGGTCAATAATGGCATCTGCGCCTACATTTACGCAGGCCACGTAGCAGGGACCTCAGCGTGGAGTTTGAGGAGTCGGAAAGTTCTGCATTTTTCTCTGCAGAGAATGGGAAGAGGGGCAAAGCAGGGCTTCTGTTCTCAAGCTGCGCTATGCGCATGAGGGTAGAGTTCAGGCTCCCAGGAGAAAGGCAGCCACATTCCCCACAGAGTCAACCTTAAGCTTTGGTTTCCAAACCTACACGGCGAGGACTGACCACTTCACCGCTGACCTTCCTGCTTACTGTCTGAATTTGGTCAGGCTCTACCTAGTTTTCAACGTGTCTGGATGAAAGTTAGAATTAGAGGAGGCTGCTTTCCTTGACCTGGGTATGCGCAGTCTTTCAGGCTCAGTTCAGACCGTGTCCGAGTTGTCAAGAAGTGAGAAAGAAAGCCAGGCCTCACTTAGAGAATGTCACCAACCCAATCCTCTTCAGGCCACTAATGGGGAGCTGGTCACTCAGCCTGCTCCCTCCAAACTCAAAGTCCAGCTCAGGCTTACAGACCAGGCAAGACACATGGCCCCGGACAAGCAATGGGTGGATGTCAGGGATACCCGGATCGAAGTGTCTCTGTTACAGCTGGAGCACAGTAACCTCTCGACTCAGGCTGCCCATTCTAATCTGGGAAGCTTTGAAAATGCCAGTGCCTGTGCGGGCCATGATTGATTACATCAGAATGTCTAAGGACAGGATTGGTTTTTCTGTTGGTTTTTGACCAGCATAGGTGTCTGGAAAGATCGATTCTAGCCAGAGGCCAGACACACGCCATTCTAATCACTGGCCCATGTTCTTTCTAGGCCGAGGGCAAGAGGAGGAGAAGACAAGAAGCAGTAAAAGAAATACGTATAGTATGACAGGGGCGGGCAGGTCTGTGGGTGTTTGTGAAGATAATTTATTCAAACAGTTAGCCGACCTGCTCCATAAGGCCGCTTCCAACCAATGTGTGGGTTTCCTTTACCATATTTAGCTCCTTATCTGGGAAGGCATCTCCTTCGTGGCCCTCAGTGTGGGATGACAATCTCTAAAACAAGATCTGGTATCAGCATGGCCTCTCCCACCTTCAGTGAGCACAGGAGGAAAGCATTCTAAGGCGGTGGAGAAAGATCTGCAATGCCATTGCCTAGGTGACAACCCCAGTTCCCAAGGTGGGCTCTGCGAGGCCAGGCTGGTACCCACGGTGGGTAGAGGGGCCGCCTACCAAGCCAGGCCTTGCCGCTGCACCTGGGAAAGGCTCGGTCCTAACAAACAGCTCCTCGGACCATTTCTCTCAGTTGATGCAAGGCCTGTTTCGTCCGCACAGCGCGCTTCTAGAGAGGGTCCTGCTTACAGACGAGATGTCGGCCAACATCTCACTCGATGCCCAGTGTTCGTGAC